CTACAAACTTTCCGTCAGGTTTTAATTATTGTCTCGAAGAATATTTTAGAATTTTTGATATTAATTGAAGTAATAATACATAGTGCAAAGGTGGGGGGTGGGTGGGTGTGTGTGTGTGTAATGTGAGGTCAATATGTTTTTCCTTTACCTATAATTTTCGCACGTTAACACACTTATTTTGTTTTATTCCGTCAACCACATTCAAAATTTCACAAATTGAGTTTCATTCTTCTACAAACTTTCCGTCAGGTTTTAAATATTCTCTCGAAGAATATTTCAGAATTTTTGATATCAATTGAGGTAATAATACATAGTGCAAAGGTGGTAAATTCTTATTTGTCTAATGTTTATATAAATTTTGACATGAAATACTATAAAGCCTTCGGGGTCGACTTTTATGTTAAATCATTCGAGATATACCGTTTGATCAAATATGTAAATATTTCGGGATATAGGAATTCTTAAAAAATTCCTTGAACTATTGGATATCGCAACCAATTTGCTTTAAATCTAAGAAAATTCGGTACGTTATGTCATTTTTTATTTATATCTTGTTAAATAAGAATATGCACGTATTTTTACTGAGTATATTCAAAATATGCACTCTTACAATAACTTTTCATATTAGAACGGACCGTATAGACGCATGGAAGGTTGATCAAGTGATGTTCATGGGATCGCCAAGTTAAAGAAAAAAATAAAATTTAGAAATGATTATTGGAAAATTTTATTTTAAGAATAAATTTTTATGTTAATTTTCCGTTATTTAAGTAGTTTTGGTGTTCGAACTTTGATATCTCATTTTAGATTAAATTTTACAAATTTAACATCTTAGTATTTAAGATTTAATTATATATGTAATTTCTTGTTTAAATTGTTAATTTCAAAATTTATCGATCAAATCACAATATTTATATTATATTGTTAAATTCAGCATATATATAGCAGATTTGGGGCATTACAGATGAAGAGATAATGATTGTTCTAGTCTGAATATAGAGAAATCAATATTTTTAGAGAAAATGTGTTTTAAAGGGTGACACTATTTACATTCATGATTTTTATATATACATCCACTTCTAAAAGATAACTATATTATATTTTTAACCTTATTTAAATTAATTTACCTAAACAAACATATATAAAATTAAATAAAAAAATATATATCGTTCTAAATTCATCCACTCATATATATATATATATATTTTCATTAAATTCTTTTGAATCTTTTTATATTCTTTTAAAATTTGTGTTTAACTAAAATTCTAATAATTATAAAATATCATATTCCACTAAAATCATAAAACTCTAATAATCATAAAGTATCATATTCAACTGAAATTAAAACAACAATGGAAGAGATACCAATAGAGGATTTTTATTTTACACTAAAAGACAAAAGCTATTATTTGATTCTAGATTTAATCCTTAGCTCATTGGAGAATATGGTCATTCAACAACCACAACAAACAATAAAAACCTTATTTATGTGAAAAGATAATCTATTTTAGGTTTTTAAATTAACTTTGAGCATTATGTTCAACCAATAAGTCGCTTTTTTAGGGCGTATGCGCATAGATTCTAAGTATTAGTTGATGGAAATAACATATTCAACCCTCGTTAAGCATAACAAATTTAACCCTTCTATATATTTTGCATATTTTCTCATTCTATGATTATATTTTGTGTAAGTGTATAATAATAAGTCCATTGCAGATTTAAACAAGGTGGAAGAATCTCTACATTACCTTAAGTTTCCTTTGGGATATAAAGTACTAGATTTTCAGAGTTGTACTTATGTATCTAGTTTTACCCTGATACATATCAGTTGATAGCAAAGTGAATTTTATTTCAAAATTCATGTATAAATTTTATTTTATTTCAAAATTACGCATAACCTCAAAAGGTTGATTTTTATCAAATAAGAAAATGAATATTTTCATATAACGGACTAATTCATGTGGAATAACACACCTATGGAACATTTAATTTAATTTTGAATATAATATTTTGTCTATAGAATTAATTATTGAATTGTAAGAAGGTTGGTGTTATATTTAATAGGGATGAATATAGTGATTTTTTAAA